TGGGTTTAGGGAGTGTTTTGTTTTGTTAACCTTTACAAAGTATCAGCTACCATAATACCTAGGCCACATCAGTTTTTTTAGCGTCTACTGTACAAGATGATTTCAGGTTTGTATTCTCTTGGGACTAGAGAGGAAGGAAAAAAGTGGCAATTCATTTTTAAGTCACAATAAATGAAAAGAAGTCATTCTTAAGTTTGTACTGCTGCAAAGCCAAGAGGTTTAATGAAGCAAGGTTACATAACCAGCCTACAGTAAATTAACGAATAAAAGCAGTCACATGCACTACGTGCAAAGGGTAATAACATGAAATGCTGTGGACTCTGGCCTGAACAACATGGGCTCCCACCTTCAGATTTGTAAACTAGCAGATTGCAAAAGTTCTCTATCAAAAGTAAAGGAGGATACTACCTCAGCCAGGGTCTAAAGACAAAGCGGTATTTTATACTAAATCAAAAGAGGAGCAGCACAGGATGACAGAGGTGACAGGCACGTAAAACAACATATTTACTATGAAGGCAGAAGACCTCACAAAGTGACTGATGATTTTTTCCATACCAGAGAGATTCCAGGTTGGCCCTCAAACCTACTGGCTGTCATAGAAATGATTAGCACTTCTGAGATAGTCTTAAAGAATATGAATTTGAACTGATAGGTTAACTATAATAAAAGCATTCCCCTCTGTGCCAGGCAGTCCTGTACCAGTTGCCAGCAGCACTGCTCTTGCAGCTCACTGGCATTTTATGAACCCATGACAATGCAGATGTACTTCTCTGATACTCAAAAATATGTGAAGTATCCATAAAGAATTTTGCAATACAAGTATTTGTGGTGAATAATACCAATATTTTTGTAAGAGCTACTCTTTAGGTGAGACTTTGTAGAACATACCTGTACTCTTTTTGAAACTGTTTCTGCATCTGACAGTCTACTTCAGGATCTGTCCTTATTATTGACAGCCGTTCTGTCATGCTCCATTATCTTTTAGGCATTATCAGGACAATAGTAAATTCAGCTTATCAGGTTGGGTAGAAAGCAGACATTTGTGCATATTAACTAATAACAAAAGTAATCTACACATACCAAAGTGTTAGAACAATCACCGGAATATCTACACATTTGCACGCAAACTTCTTTAAGTTTTATTTTAAAAGCAATCTTAGCAAACTGATGGGGCTATATAGTATCCATTAGAGTTCATTAGCATTCTTTGGCTGAAGTCCCACAAGCAGTTGCAGAAAACTCTCTTTTACTTCAAAGGACAGAGAATTCAGAATTGAAAGAAACATTACCCCTTCAACCTGATCTGACACTCTGCCCTTTCACAGACTATAGCTCTGGAAGAAGCCTAAAATAAAAATAACCCTTGACCAACACAATGCATTTCAAATCTTTCTAGTACTTTGTGCAACTAAGATAATACATAGTAAGTACAAGCCTAGTGACACAGTGGAAACAGTTCAGTGGCAGCATGCCTCACCATAAACAAGTGTACTTTACATTACTTACATGAAGGTAGCATATAAAGAGTACAATTTAATCTACCTAAGCTAACGAAAGCTGTACATTTTCTACATAGAGAAGGAATGAATAAAAAGGGATCAGCCAGGGGAAAAAAAAAAAAAAAAAAAATTGTAAGTGGCTTACAGTGGTGAATAGCTGAATAAAGGATCATTTGATCTGCATTCAGGAGAAGAGTGGGATAGCAAGGCAATGGCAGCACTTAGATCTTACCCCTCAAAATAAGGAGCATGCATCTCTCTGCATGTATGATTTTTATCAATGTCCACACTAAGACACCAAAATATAAAGAAATACAGTTATACAAAAGAGTCAGATTTAACCTTGTGCATAGAAAAAAACCTCTTCAGCTATTTTCTGGCATCTGCAGTACAGCACTGACTACACAAGACAAAATATACTGGAAAGGTTTCTGCTTATTGCACTTCTTTATTATTTTGTTATCAATCATGTCACAATTATTCCAGCAATCTTTGCAGCTGGTTCATCCCTAGAAGGAAACTTTAAATTTCCACACTAAAAATTACAATTGTTATTCAAAGTCAGCTTCCAAAAGTGGAGGGGTTTTGTTTGGTTTGGGGGTATTTGGTTGGTGGCAGGTTTGTATTCTTCTCTTCATGGTGTGGTGTTTTTTTGTTTGGGGTTGGTTTGGGTGTGTTTGTTTTGGTTTTGTTTGTTTGTTTTGTTGTTTGTTTTCTTTCATTTCCTCCCAAGAACTGTTATTTGGATCCATTATCTTCAGTCTTACCCTCCCACTCTAAAGTCCCTAACCATATTAAAGTTTTCTAATCAACATGCAGGTAGTAGGAATAAGAAAAACATTTCAATATTTAGATAGAATCATCATTGGTTACAAATATCCTGGGGGGGAAAAAAAAAAAAGTTACTTTCACATATTTTTAACACCGGTTTAATTTTATTCTTTTTATGCGTCTCTTCAGGTGGAAGCAATGCCCCAAAACTATGCCAGCAGTGAACATGCAGTACCACTGTACTAAACAAAGCTTCAGGAAAAGATACTTGCTGTGTTTGCACATGCTTCCGAAGTGCTACAGCTCTTTTTGTACGTTAAGATATGCAGCACTACTACGTAAGTCGAAGAGCCTTAGAAATGCAGGGCTCAGGTTTTCAAAATGCAAGGTCAATGCATGACCTTGAGAGACCACCCAGCCCAGCTGTGTCAGCACTAGCCCTGCATCCTCCCCGAGACCCTCCTTGTAGGAAATGTCGGTACAGCAATTCTGAATGTCGAACTGCTTGCACGGAGAGAAAGGGTTTGTACAGACACGGCACCTTCATGTTTAAGCCACAGGCCACATGCAGATGGCACGGGAAGCACTCACAAGCTAGAATAGTATGAGATAATTCCTGTCCATCCTCCAGGAGAAAATGGAGGGACGCTTCCCACAGGCCACCCGTGGCTGAACAGCCAACCCATGGACACGAGGGATACAATCCAGCTCCCACCCCACAGCAAGACCAGGAACAGTGAGTAAGCAAGGAATGTTTCAGCATCCCTAGGCCGTCTTCTCCAACAATTCTTCTTAAATCTTTGCTAGTGCAACGGAGATTAATTTATTATTTTCTGTAGACAAACCTTAAGGGCACTAGAGATTGTCTTCTTTCCCTCTACCTTCAAGACTAAGTCATTCTTGTTGCTTTCTTTTCAACGCTCTTCAGTTTGCTTACTCTCAAAGTGCTACACCCAGTTACACACTTTCACAGCATTTAGGTTTTGCTATCTGGATATTAAGACAAATGGCTCTCTTGATACAACCCCAAAAATAATGTAGTACTTCTTCAATGTTATCACTTCTCAGACATCTGTAACTAGTGACTCAACAAAACAAGTCAGTCTGTCCCGCTCCTCTTATTTATCAAGATCATTTTCAATTCTGAGCATGGTCATTAAAGCAGCTACAACTGTTCCCAGCTTGGCATCAACTAAAAATTCAGGTGGTTTTTTTTAGTTTTAAGACATCACTCACCAAACATACATACTTTTATAGTAAGAAAAAGTATTATTGCCTTATTAAGATGACTAAGGTCAGATTTTTCAATTCAAAACAAACTTAACTTGACTGATCCCTAGCTATTGTGTATCATTTATGATCTTTTTCACTCCCCCTACTACAGAGAAGAGGAAATAAAATATGCTTACATTGACGTTTATGCACAAGCAAAACTGTAACCCTGCATTACTATTAAACACAGTTGAAGCTTACCACAAGCAGCCTTTTCAGATTTTAGCCTCTGTATCAAATTATTTTAAAACCATCCAGTATAAAATTGACAGTCTAAATGCTTGAGGTTTTTCTTTTTTAAAGTGATGAAATCCATTAAAAAGATTGTTTCAGAGCATCTTCCAGCATACTTAGGATCTCTGTAAACAACTCAAACACATTTTAAAGCCATAAAAAAATCATAGGAGTTCCACAACTTCAACTCATTTTCCGATATTTCCTTTGCCATCTTCAATTATTCCATGAGTTAATGCTTTAAGTGATAGTGGTAGCTTCTCTTCAGAATTACTCAGACACTTAGTAGTTTATTTCTTATTGTTTATGTCCCTCCATAGTGAAAGGACACCAGATTCAGATGCTGTTATTAAGACTAATCTTAATCAAATAATTCCATGACATTATCTTTCAGATGTTTGTGTAAAGCAATTAGTTGAAAGCTTTTTTAAAATATCCAAATCATATTAGAGTAACTTTGAATTTTAAAATGAATCCTTCACATGCTGTATACTACCAAGCTTCTACACAACTGAAAGAATCATGAGAGGTCCTTATAGTAAAGCCCAGGTATTTTACCGTACTTTGAAGACCAGATTCAACATTCTGACGTCAACAGCATGAGACGCCAGGATACACTCCTACAAGTAATTTTCTATCTTGCTATTTTTGTAGCTTAAATATATCTGTAAAATAGTTAATGTGCTTAGGAGTATTATCCTTCTTGTTCTGCTCTCACCAACTAATAAGATTAGTTGTGCGTCTGTCGTGTACCCCCATTTTTTTTTTTTTTAAAAAAAGCATATGAATTGTTCTATGTAACTTTAAACAACAGTATTTTATTTTCCATATGAATATACTCAAACTGAATCCTCTTAGGATTTTTTTCCGATTTCCCTTCTTATTGCTGCTTGGTCTTATCTATCTGCATCTTTAAAGAAAGAAAAAATAAATCTTAAACTAGGCTTCAGCTCCAACTACGAGCAAATGACAGTGGAGACTCATTTGATACAAACATTCTACATGGAGCCAAAGATTTCTTCTGTAATGATACCTCTGTTGGTTTATTTAACAAACCATACTGAAAAATTAAGAACCATAATGAAACACAGATAAGTCAAGTACACTTAAAATTCAATTAATCTGAATTGATGGATCTCTTCTGTGCCACAAAGAGGGAAGAGGTTTTTTTTTTAATTTGTAGAAGGAAAAGATTCCTAAAGAAACAAACAAAAAAAACCCAACCACCTTGCAAACTATACTATCTTGAACTTTCCATGTGAAAGATAAAAAGCTCGTAAAGAGTTGTGAGTTACCCCATTTGCAGATTATTCAAATAAGAATTCACGTGGTTTAGTGCCATAATGTCCGATCTACTTCTTCTCACTATGAGTAGGCAGCTAGAGCTGCTAACTTGTGTCTTTTTTGTCTTTCATGCCCATCAATGTACCCATGCATTCTTCTGCACAGACACCTACATTAATAAACTGGTAACTACTTATTCTCTGATCATGCCATACTGAAACAATTGTTCATTCTGCATTATATGATGAAAGAAAAAATCCAATTTCTAAAAGTTTTAGTAAGTTATTGCACATAGCCCTTTGGATTTAGGCAAAAATGTCAGGTAAGATTTTAGCTCCCTACTTTGTCTGTATTTTATTATGCCTTTCAAATGAAGACACTTCGGTCTGTTTCTCGATCAAAAACTATCTTGTATTTTGACTGCCAAAAAATCCATGCATTTGCTCACTATTTGCAAGTAGAACTACCACTACAAATAAATTAATCTTTTCAGAATACTTCAGCAGATGGTTCTCCACCCTCTGAAGAATTCATGTAATTGAATCTGATTGCTTGTTAAAGCAAGCACCAACATCATGGAAATGGGTGGGAAAGCAAGCATCGTTTTTCCCCCCCCTTAAAGAGCTCTGTTAATAAACTCACCTCGGCGTCCAACTCCTGTCCCACAGTCCAGAACTCAATTGTCCTTAAGCACAATTACTAGTCTCCTACGTTACAGATAATACCCAAGGGCAAGTGAAATCCCGAAAAAAAAAAAACCTGAAGATTTTTACTGGTTTTTAACTTGTCAGACCAGGTACCTACATGTCACTCAAAGGTAAAATTCTAGTACACCAATTAATCATTCCACTAATTCGAAAGCGGGTATTGGTAGAGATGTACTCATTGGAAAAAGAGGCCAGCCACAGGCACACACTGTTGTAACATGTGGTTTGTGGCTACCTTGGTCCCAGCCATGACATCAATTACACACCTTTTAATTCTGTAACAGTATACAAGCACAAACCCAAGTTATCCCACCCTGCCCAGTTCTCTTCCTAAAAGAGAAAGAGGATGCACATTAACAATTCTAAAAAAGCAAAACAGAGGATGTGGCACAGAAAGCACATCTGCTACCACTTTAAGTGCAGAAACAGATAAGTTTTAGCAGTTACAGAAGACTGAGCCTGCAACTCCTTAAAAAGAAGGGTTAAAGGTATCAGTACCTTTATGAATTAAATGATGAATTTTAAAGAATGGAAGAGATTTCACAAAAACTTGTACAATTTCTCATTTGGTTCAGCCCATCAACTGAAGACTGTCCATCATATGGCTAAATAACAAATGAAGTTACAAACTTTTGAGTAACAATTCAGAATCTGATGATTTAGTTCAAATTATGATGTTGTTAAATCCATACTATTTGAAGGCTCCCCTTAGAGTCTTATTTACCTCCGTACTGCAAGCTAATAACATCAGCAATGGCCAGCAGTGCAGCAATTCGCTGTACCCAGAGAAAAGGAAGCATTCCCACCATGCCATCTCTCTCCACTGACATACAAGAACTCACTACGTCTAAAAGAAGCCATATTCTTCTCTCAAAACAAGCAAAACCACACACATAAAAATAAAACAACACAAAAAAAACCCCAAACACCCCCCAAAAACTTCAAACCCAACAGAACTGACACAAAGGCTAGGGAGCAAGAAGGAAAAAAAAAAAAAAAACAAAAAAAACACCCCACCACACACATACCCTCCCCCCAAAAAATTCTGCATACACCAAAGAAGCCCTGTGCCAAGCATAAGGAGAATCACTGGGATTAACAAGAGAAGTCACAAGTCTCATTTGAATGACCTGGTTCACCCTCCTTCCCTACTTCCCCAGCCAGTGATCCCCAGCCACAAAGCAAAGAAGCACAAAGCTCTCTTTGCTATCCCTGTTTATCAATCACCTGTGGGGAAAAAAAAAAAAAAAAAAACAAAAAAAAACCAAAAACATTTGAACAGCTCTGGTTTGGCTACTGAAAGTGACAGAAATTGCTGGATTTTATTTATAAAAACTACTCTACCCCAAGCGGGTAGTGGCTGACTGATCCTAGGACAGCCCTTCTTAACTGGCATTTCTCTTCAGATTGCTCAGAACTTAAAAGCTCCTTCACCTAACACCTCTGTCTGGCTGTGCTGCACACTCCTGCTGCATTCTCTGTCAATCTGTACACAATCCTCAAATCTCCTTAAACCCCAACGCCAAAACGCCATGAACGGCATCAGATGTGGCCATACCTGCGCCTCTTCTCTCGCCCATTTAAAAGCCACTACACAGTACAATGGGAGCCCATGTGAGGAACCTTAACGTACATGGTAACTGAAGCTAGCATAAGGAATACATTGCCAGTTTTTCAGTGATACTCACAATCATGGGCTACACTTTATTACTCAAACTAGAAAGAAAAGCCCAGCAAAATACATAAAAATAAAAATAGCGATATCTCAGCTTCTGACTAAAGGTTGTGGAGAAGCCTGAAAAGGAAGAGATGACCACAACTGATCAGCTCACCATGTGGCAAACATTTTTGTTCTTAGTTTTTGTATTCGCCTAGTAATGACCCATTTTCAGGAGCTTTATTTTAGTTATTTTGAACCCATGAGGACAACTGAGATGTAACCAGTCCTTTAAAGTAGAGCAGTCTTAAAAAGATGTAAACAAATTGAGAGGCAAATAGTTCTTAGACTTAGAGCATAGTCTTAAACAGTAAACTGTTAGGTTCTCCCAGATCACAACGAGTCTCTGCCCACAACATAAAATCAAATTTCTGAACTAATTCAATGGCTTAACATTGAATTTTGTCTTCATGTGAGATGACGTAAGTCAAACAACAGAACTCCTTACAGCACAAGCTTATACACAGCTTACCTGCTGTCAGTCCTAGTGAAAATGTATTATGCCTTACATGTGCTCTAAATGCAAGCATTCCTAACCCTCCTCCCCAGGCCTTAAAAACTATAATACAAAACAAGCATAAGCTGGCAACATGGCAAGCATCAGTGTCAACAAAGCACTTCCTTCATCTATGAGGCACGCAGCCATACGTGTTAGCAGCTGCAGAGAAGAGGTGCTTTTGTTTCATTCCTAAACCGAGAGAGAACAGCTCTGGGTGTTATTTTACACTGTGCAGGAAGTAGCAGTTACGAGTTCCAGCAAATGAAGTTTTGCCAAGACAGATGACCCTTCTTTCCTATCATTTCAACACACGGGCTGAGCAACAATGAAGTAGAGCACCATAGTCTTTGTTTCATATACAGCTATAACCTCATTAAGAAAACAAACAGCAAGTTTATTATGCTGGCAAAGCTAATGTCCACCTTTAGGCTCTGACCTGGTTATGAGCAAGCACAGTACAAAATATGCCATACATAAGTCCTTAAAAGAATATGGCCCACAG